CTGCAGGCAACTAAATGGACATCTTGATCTACGTGATTATCAAAGGCAATAAAATTGACATCTAAGGATTTACATAACTGATCGATGGCAATAAAATGGACAAAATGATCTTCATAGATGATCTACATGGCAATAAAATTGACTTCCTATTCTACCAATTAAATCTATCTAAAATTTTACCTGTCACACCGTAGTGTGATTGGTGTGATAAATTAAACTGAATTTGATACCTATTACTATATATATGTTACGTAATTTACTATTAATCTAATCTTATCATATTGCTTATTCTTTATTTATCAGAAAACTTGAATAATCTATAAATTGTATTAATTTGATGAAAATTTGCTCGGTACTATTTTCAAAATCAGAAAATTTCACGAAAAACTTATGTATTATCTGGATATTCTTCAAGAATGTTATGAGATAATATTGATGTGTGCAATAGTAGAGTAAAATTAATGGAGTAGTGAGAAAATTAAATTATTCAAAGTTTAGAATATAAATATAAAAAAAATTATATTAGCACTCAATTATATTTTAGGTAAGTTCAATTCATAAGTAATATGCAGTGTGACATACTCATCTCTTATATTATATACCTATAGCAGAAATAAGAATATTAAATTCGTTGATAATTTTTTTTATAAGGTATTGCATCAATCCTGCAATTTTATTTTTTTTTACGAAGAAGAGTGAATAATAACATTAAAATTAATTCTAAATTTATATTTAACCTTTTAATGAAAACTGTTAAAAATACAGTAAAATAGTATATCAGCGCATTATTTAATGGTATTTGTTTGAAATTTTGATAAGTAATACATAATGAAATTAAAATAAAAAAATAGAAACTCATCCTAATCAACTAGTGCCATCAGTTTGTTTTAACTATTATTTAATGTTTCTACCAAACATTGTATTAAATTTATGTGTTGCTTCTAACCTTCATTATTTTTCAAAACAAATATATGATGGCAAATAAATGATTTTCAAAGCCTCAAAAGCTAATTCTGTTCTGCCAACAACTTGTTCAACCTCCGAAGGAATTGGATCATGACACACTCTGATAATATCATGGTTAAAGGAAATCAAACCTTCAAGTATATCTTCCTCATAAAATGGTGGTCTTGGCTTATCATCATCCTATAAAAAAATGTGGCCCTTGACTGTTGCTTTCCATTTCATTTAAATGCTTAGACGTAAGATTTCTATCGAGATGGACCAATCAAAGATTAAAAAGCATA